AGTACACAGGAACTACGCTGTCTTCAAGAACAAAAACTATACTCTGCCCATCTGGTCAAGTCCAGGGGAAGACCAAATGGTTCACGGAGACTATGATCTGTTTTCTATTTAGTTGAAAGCAGAACAAACAGAATAAAGGCCACACACACAAAAAAAGAAAAAAGAAAAGAAAAAAGAAAAAAAAGATGAAAAAATTAGAGATCAGCCTTTCTCATACATATCTGTTTATTTAGGTAACATAAGATGGCAAACAAGTATTAAGTCAGAAAGGTGAAATCATTAAAAAGGAAAAAAAAAAAAAATGTATGTCATGATTTAGCCTTGATTTGACCCGGAAGCAGGAAGAGTAAGAGAAGGAGGTAAACTGGCTCAAGGTTCCATGAGTCGCCTATGCACAGTGTGATTAATTATAGTAATTCCCCAGATCTAAAGCCTCCGCCTTTCTAGCATACTCTAGAGAGTCACTTCTTCTGTTAAATATATATTTGGATTCCTGTCACTTTCAGCTCTTGGTTCTCAATTCTTTTTTATATCTTGAACAAGTCATAAGACACTTTCTGAGCATTAACCGTCCCCAGGAAACTATATCCCTTACCTAATAAGAACTATGTAAAATAAGAGATAAAGGCTATCAGGTACCCTGACTTCTTGGAAAAATGAGTCAACAGAAATGAGTTTGGGTAGGGAGAAAAGAATTTAACCATATAAGCAAGATGAATATTAGAGAATTTGATTTGGGAGAGAAAATGCTGCAAAGATGATACTGATGAGAAAAGAGCGTAGCCATGTTGTCTTGATTAAGTCACATATGGTATTCTCTTGGGGCCCCAATTTGTGCATCTGTAAAATGGAGAGGTTCAGCTATGTGAGTATCCCTATGTTTCTTCCTGGCTATAATATTTATGAATTAAGTCAGAGCTGAGATTGTGATTCAGAGTTCAAGATTTTTAGCTGTCTGCTTAAGACATGTTAAAGAGCCATTTTCTCTTTGGAATTGCTATATGTGTCAGAAATAAATCCAGTACTCAGGAAAGAAAACATTCTGCCTCTTCCTCCACACCCCCACTCCCCCTGTCTGATTGTTGGATAATAAAAGCCAAGATAGGGAAGGTCCAAGGCAGACTCTCAGCCTGGCCTCTCCATTCAATGGATTCAGAATTATTCTGGTTTCTGAATAAGACGATTCTCCCCTTCACCCCCAGCATTTATCACTTTGGTCAACCATTAAAAGGATGAAGCAAAAGCATTGCCCAGCAAGAAACTCCTGCAGCTGGCAGAAATGAAAAGCAAAGATCTTCCCTCACAGGTCAAATCTAACTGACACTACACAGATAAAGCTAAGCTGGGAGAGCAAAGGCAGACTTGCAAGCAGTTGAAACTAGAGAGGAAACTATTTTGAGTTCCTTTCACCAAAGATTGTAACATATTTGTGTGTGCGTGTTTTTTTTTGTTTGTTTTGTTTTGTTTTTTATCAGAGCCACCTGGAGCTCTCTGACTTTTCCTTATTAATATTATTATTATTGAAAGTTTTTTTTCAAGCAATTCTCTGATTAGCTGGAATATTCTTGCTCTTTTTAAAACCTGCAGTGATACTACAGTGTTTCACCCGAGCCTTGGGGGCAATCTGAAACAACATCATTTTCTGTCTGTGGTTCAGGAGTTTTAAGATCCTACCTGAATAGATCTGAAGTTTTCTGAAAAGTCTCCTGTCTCCCTGGAGCCCCTAGATGTTCTAGAGAGAAACTGTCCTGGGATCTGCCACTCAGCACACCACTTGCTCTTGGAAGCCCATAGTTCCTGCTTGGAATAGGCTTTGCTCCTGGTAGCCCTGCTCAAACTGGGAATGCAAATGCCTATGTGACCAACTGAAGCATTCACTTTCATACTATAGGCTTATGCTGTAGCTAGGGGCATCCTGAAACTTGGGTAGTTAGCATAAAGAAGAAAACTCTGAACCCATGTGTCAAGGTTTCACTGGAAGAGAAAGGCAAGCCTGATGACAACAGCAAAGGAGAAGGGTTGAGGCTACAACTGGGAGGCCTGATCCTCAGAGTAGAATGTGTTTTCAATGAAGGAGGATGATTAATGACTTGGGAATGTTTTGGAAAGTTGGGAGAGTGACAAGCCCCCTTCCTGGCCCCATGAAATAAGGAATTTAAGGGAAGATTGGCCTTCACTGCAGAGCAATTTGGGGGCGGGGGGGAAAGAGTATTCTGAGGAAGACAAGGGTTTTTTTTTTTAATTTGGCTGAATGGCATTTTGATAAAAGGTCGAGGGGCCGGGCGCGGTGGCTCATGCCTGTAATCCCAGCACTTTGGGAGGCTGAGGCAGATGAATCACGAGGTCAGGAGCTTGAGACCATCCTGGCTAACATGGTAAAATCCCGTCTCTACTAAAAATACAAAAAATTTGCTGGGGGTGGTGGCATGTACCTGTAGTCCCAGCTATCCAGGAGGCTGAGGCAGGAGAATTGCTTGATTCAGGAGGCGGAGGTTGCAGCGAGCCAAGATTGCACCACTGCACTCCAGCCTGGGTGACAGAGCAAGACTCCATCTAAAAGGTTGAGGATGTAGGGTACTGTTTAACAGAGAAAGGAATGTTTCTGAGCATTCAGTGGAAAGGATCCAGAGGAGGGTTAATATTGGGTGGACCTAGAAGTAGGGAACTGCAGAGTAATCAGATAATTTGGGTTTTAGAGAGGATGGACAATTTGCTGGGAATGGAAGGGTACAGCTTGTTGGAAGTGACCAGCCTTAACTGGCCTAACAGCTATGTAGCTAAACTTTCCAAGGGTCAAGAGAGAGAAAGAGTAGTAACTATCATGCAGTTGGCAAGTGATTACAAAGGGGTCTGTACTGGCAGGGGCAGCAAGAAATTCTGTAATATGTGGCCTCATTTTTAAAGAAAATAAAATCCTGATTGGGGTTGAGGGGAGACGACCATGCACATAAACACACATGTACATAAAACTAGAGTCCTTGCTTTTATTGAGCCCTCCCATGCCAAAACAAACAAACAAACAAAAATTAGTAGCCTGCTGCAGAAGAGCTTGCACATGATTATGAAATAGGCCAATGGGCTCTATTGAGGGGTTACAAAGATTGAACATGGGGCTCTTCCTGAGGAATATAAAATGAGTGTTACTAGATTTTGATACTGATGGAATTCTGCATTCATGAAACTTTTAAATGTTTTGGTAGAATGGATAATAATTTGGGAGTCAGCAGACTTGAATTCTGGTCCCCAAACCTCTATTTACCTTTGAAAGAAGAGACAACATACCGCCAATGTTTTCCCTTCCCCACCTCCCCTCTCCTCCAAAAGCTAGTTTCTACCTCCACTCTTCTGATGAATCTACTCAAGTGAAGCTCATCAATGACTCTGTCCTGCCACAGTTGCCATCCAATGGGTGATTTCAATTTTAATGTAGGTTCCTTTTCTTCCCTGTTTCCCATGAACTGAGCTTTCCTGCTTTTCATCCACTGAACCGCTTCCTGGCACTAATGCTGGTAATGCAGGACCCATCACTTAATCATCTTTGTATGTCAAGTAAGAGTATAATGATTATCCAATAGATAATTGAATAAAATGCTTTTGTCACTAAGCTTTGATATCTTCATCTTTTCAAATTAAAAGTTTGGACTTCAAAATCTAAAATATGTGACTGCGTGCTCTTCTTACAGTGGTTTTATGAATTTAAGAATCAAGTATCCTCCACTGAGGGAAAAGACTCACTCAATAGAAGATTCTTGAATTTATCACATAAAAAGGATGTGACAATATAGCCTTCTCTCAAGGTCCCAGAAGCAATACATCAGCATTTTTAAGTTGATACCAAAGTTTTGGATATGTAACACTGACTGCTTCATAGATAGGTATTAATGCACAGATACGTAATACACAGACATACTGAATTTAATGGCTTTAATGTTGCCATTATCTCACTCTCTTTAGAATATCATCTAACTTACTGAGTTGTATATTGTAATAAAACCCAGCTTCAATTTGAGTAAATAGAATTGTTCTTTTTAGCAGTATGTGCTTAAGATGCTTAATTATAATTATACAGATCTATTTATATAAACACATTAAAAATGGTTCTGCTATTTCTATGTCAATTCATTTGTCATGACTCGGTATACAATTCCTTAGACTCATTCTTCTTAGAGTATAAAAATAATGCTTCCTAATTACAATAAAATTAGAATAAAGTCAGAAAAGCAGAAAGAAGATTTTCTTGATCACACAAATTCCTAACATTCAGTGGCATTAGATGAACATTTGGTGTATTTCCTTTTGCGGATTTTTTTTCTATTTAAAGATTACATTTTGCTGAGTTTATTTTTAAAGACATAGTTTATATATAGTTCTTGAAAAGAATATATGTATCATTTCCCTGAAAATATTAATACATGATCATCAAGATATTTGGGGATAAATTGCCACTTCAAAAATACATCTTACAAAGAGCATTCACATGGTTTTAAATAGAAATTTCTAAATATCTAAATTTCTAAATATTCACAGTTTACAGTGGTAATGTACCTTTTAGATAAATAAAGCTAAATAAAGTACCCAGAAAAGTAACACAATTTAACATTCTCCTCAAACACTGCCCCTACTTCTTCCCTCTCAACAGCTGAATCACCAGGTACAGATGCCACCAAAATCTTAGCACAACAACCCTGAGAAGCACATGATGAGAACAGCATTCAGGTGACAATTAACACAGGACTCACTTCCTGACACAGCTGTCCTCCAGTCATTCTAATGTATCATCCCATAGTCCTACTTCCTAGGAAAAGAAGTGAAAAGAAGAAACTGAATATTTATGCTGTTGTTTGACTTCTTTTAGACCTTAGCTGAGGCTGAGATTTCTCTGAAGGAAGGACCCTTGTCTCATTCATCTTTGTGTACAGTGACTAGGATCCCACAAAGCACAAGGCACAAGTTTTATTAGTATTTGTTGACTACTGAATAAAGGCCAAGGGCAAATGATCAATGAGGAATAATTTTAATTGCAAGCAGCAGAAAACTCAAAGGCGGTGATATAAACAAACATATAGGTATCTTTTCCTTATCTAGCTGGATGTTCAGAAGAAAGCAGGTGTTGATGTTTGTTCTATGGCTCAGCATATGTCAGGGGTGATATCTCTAAAATTCTCTCAGCCTTCCCCTTATGCCTTAAGATGACTGCAGTCACAAATCCATGTTGAAGGCAAGAATATGCCTTGATGAGCCCCCAGTAGACTTCCAGTTAAATCTCATTAGCAGTATTATATGACTTCCTCTTGCTGCAAAAGAGTCTGGGAAAGTGCTTATATTTCCTGGAGCTCGTCTCTGGAGTTGGACATAGAATCTGGATTCTGTTAGCAACAAAAAAGGGAGAAATGGGTACTGGATAGTCAGTTAACAGTGTCTGCCTCAACAAATGTTGTTCTCCATCTTTTTAAAGTCAACATAAAAAGTAGAAATTGAAAACAGCTAATAAAACAATCAAGAAAAGAACATACATTCCGGGCAAACTTCCATAGGTATGACCACTCACTGACAGCTGCTACTGATAATAGTGACTTGGTGAGTCGGAAGTTGTGGGTGGTTCAACAGCAAGGCTAATAAAGAAACTTGAAAATGCATGTATCTTGAGTGATGCACTCAACTACATACTATGTCAGGGTCTCTTGTCTTTAAAAGGTGACCTAATACAGGATAGAAACAAACAAATTTGATTTGTCAAAGCTAGATGAATTATGAATGTCTTCCTTTGGTTTTAATGCAGTCCAATATTTTAAAAAATATTTTAGAGAATTTGTAGAGGTGGAACTGGAAGAGACTCTATTTAGACTCTACTCTTCATCATATCACGCAGCCTCTGCTTAAAATTTCAGCAACAAGGTCTCTCTACTCTGTGAAGTAGCCAATTCAACATTTAAATTTCTCTAATGATCTGAAAAGCCTTTCACAGTTTGAATTGGATTTTACTTCTCAGTGTCATGCATATACTGTTTCTAATACTGATTTTTTGAGTGACCAGAATTAGCTTGTGTCTCCTTGCATATGACAGCCCTTTAAATAAATCAACAAAGTTAAGATCCCTGTTCTTGTAGAGAAACAATTCGGGCCTTGAACTCTTCCTCAGTTGGTGCAATTTCTATAGTCCCTTTGTCCACCCCTCATTCCAGATAGTTGCCCTTCTCTGGTTACTCTGTCCTAGTGAATGTCACTTATTTTATAACTCTTGCAACAACACAACAACACAATATGCCTATAACCGCCAAGGGTGATTGTTGACGTCTACAACCACCCTTGGTGTCAACACTCACCATTTCGATTCTGGTCCACGTATCTGGGCCTAAGAAGAATTATTTGACATCCTTACTGATCAAATATGCAAGTTTTCTCTCCCAACATATTTGCCAAAGAAGCCCTCCATAACATCATCCAAATTCAACAAGGCAGGGACAATATGCTAAAAGAGCTTTCCTTTCTGGTTATCAAGCAATTTATAAATATTGGGGTGAAACTGTTCTTCAATTGTCTGTTAATGTACCACAAAAGATAACTCTCCATATTTTTCCATTTCATGAAGAGTTCCCAGGATTTTCCTTTCCGTCTCTCCACCAGGTAATTTAGAGCCACCATAAATAATTTATTTGCCATGCTCTCGACCACATTTTAAACAGTACACCACAGATGTCTGGCACTCCTTTAAAGCTCAGGTGGAAAAATGAGGGTGGGTGTTAAATTTATGTAATTTATGTACAGTTACTAAATAAACACTGTACTAGGAGATTTATATACATTATTCCCTTCGGTCCTTCTAACCACTTTTTAAGGTCTTACAATACCCTCAACTTTTCAAAGAGAGAAGAGAGATTACTAACAAGCTTACTGTAGTTCAGAAACTTGCTTTAGAACTGTGTTATTTTTCTGGACACCAAATACACATTGTTTTCCACACAAATTCTCTAAATCTTTGACATCAACTGGGTGTCCAACAATTCAGTTCAATTCCAATAACCATTGGGAAATAAAAACAAAATCCTAAGACCCAAGGAGACACCAGAGAAATCTTAAAAACTGAGTTCCTGGCCATGACAGGACAGGTGGTGAGACATGCCTCAGTATGCTCCTTTCTTATTAAACTTTAACCAGAATTATTTCCTAAGGAGTAAACAGAAATCAGCTTTGGAAAACAAGAAGCAGACAACTCATTTCATTAATCACCTTTAACCAACCATCTGAGGCCATGTCTGCACTTCCCCTATCTCTTTGCTGTTTCTACATGACAACTCACCAGTTTCACAATGCATCCTTCCTGAAGAGTAACCACCCTCTCCAGGCTGGTTTTGGCCAACTCATGGAGGATGCGCAGTGAGGGTTCTCGTGTCCCTCTGCTTCACCTTTTGACAACAGCAAGCTCAAAACTCCACCCCTGGACCATGCTAACAACACCCTTTGTTTTTCAACATGTGACTCATGAAGAGCCATGCAGCTCATTTGTGCATGCATATGTTTCTCCTTTCAAATATTCCCTTTTCCTACAGTTTATTAAATATGTATACTTAGCCAGCCCATTCAGCATAAATTCCTGTCTTATGCTTCCCTCCCTCAAAGTGCTTGCTCTCGGCGGCCAAAGGCCATGGTTCGTAGCCTATGGAATGGCCAATTTCTCTTTTATGAGAAATAAAGTTTTCCTGTCCAAATTTATGAAACTCATCATTCTTCAGATGTCAATATCCAGAGTTGACACAGATCATACAGCTTAAGGGCTCAGTCCCACAAGACTTCTCCGACTTCAGATACCAACTGTAAGTGGTAGGCACGGTTGATGAAATCATTGGCCACTGGTGACTGAATTCAATCTCCAGCCCATCTTTCCTCTCTGGAAATCGAGGGGTGGGGTTGAAAGTTCTAACATTCTAATAACATGACTCTCTAAAGCCTCTGCCCATGCTTTAGCCATCTCATTAGTACACAAAAGATAGTGAAGTCCAAGGGTTTTAGAAATCTGTGCCAGGAACCAGGGGCAAAAACCAAGTATGTATTTTTTATTACACCACAAGGTCCCATGGTTAGTAAGGGTAGAGCTGTATTTCTAACACAGGTCGGCTTGTGGTTGAATTTCATATTCTCCTCTTATAACAAATTTCCTACTGATGAATCAAATTTTATAGAACGAAAGCTATATTAGTACAAGATATTTTGAGATGCGCTCCAAGTAGAAATATCCTGTGTCAAAGTCACATCAATCTGAAAACTGGTAATCAAGAAAATTAGTCTTGAGAAATGTGTTTTCTTTATTCTGAATAATCATGATCAGCTCTTTAATTGTTATATTTACCCTTCATATGCTAAAGCAGGTCACATAGGTAAGACCTTTGTTCTCCATCACTTATGTATTACTAGCTGTAGGTTAAGGATCCAACTAACATTTTGCAGTAACTTTTACATTTATCCTTTGCCCAGTGATTCACTCACATACTCTCACTGTCAAGGGTTTATATATTGTAAGTATACTCATCTGTAAAGCAAAAGGAAATAGGTTTATCACACACAGAAAGAATTTTAAAACAATGAATAATGTTGTAGGAAAATAGATGATTATAGCTTGAGTGACTTGTGTACCAAAAAGTACAGCATGCTCTGTGTGGGTCTGTTCCTGTCACCTGCAAAACTGTGTGGAAAATGTTCTTGGGACAGAAAGTAGAGCCTTTTTGTGTCATCCTACTCAATTTTTTAACAGTTTAATAGAAATGACTGAACACACAATTCATTTGAGTAACAAAAATTAGTTATAAATTTCCATTTCAGGCTGAGTGCGGGGGCTCATGCCTGTAATCCCAGCACTTTGGGAGGCTGAGGTGGGTGGATCATCTGAAGTCAGGAGTTCAGGACCAGACTGGTCAATGTGGTGAAACACGTGTCCACTAAAAATAAAAAATGAAAAAAATTAGCTGGGCATAGTGGCGGGCACCTGTAATCCCAGCTACTTGGGAGGTTGAGGCAGAAGAATCACTTGAACCCAGGAGGCAGAGGTTGCAGTGAGCCGAGATTGCACCACTTGTACTCCAGCTTGGGCAACAAGAACGAAACTCGATCTCAAAAAAAAAAAAATTCATTTAAAATTTTTCAGAAACAAAAGAGTCTATACCATTTATTGAGCTCCTTTGATGCCAATTACTAATAATGTTGGACACTTTTAAAATCTCTAATCCTTGCAACCAACTCCACAAGACAGATGTCATATCCCCATTTTACACATAACTAAACTGAGACTCAAAGGTTGAGAGGCAAACCATGTGGAACATATATTGTTTTTATGACATCTTGCTATACTAAACTCTCAATCCTCATATCCCTGAGAAGTCTTCAAGAACAATGCCAATATATTTTCTTCAAAAGGTGATAGGGAAAGAAGGGAAAGCAAGGGAAATTTTTTTAAAAACGGAAAAGGGAAGAAAAGGAAGGGAAGGGAATGGCGGGTAAGGCCGGATGACACAAAGCAAAACAACTCAACTACTCTACACCAGAGCATCTGGAGAAACAATAGCTAAAATTCTGTATGTTTCTCACCACGAGCCAAAGATTATATTGACATTGTGTCACCACTCCAATGTGTTTCCAAATATCTTGGTCATTCAGTCAACATATTCATTGAGCACTTCTCTGCACTCAGAATGTTGTAATAGCTGCTGTGGGGAAAATACATAAGCAATAAAAGATAAGTTGCCACCCTTATGGCACTTACAATTGAGCTAGGTCAAGAATACAAATGCATGAAATAGCAGGAGACTTTCATGGTAACACCTTAAGGAGAGATATCTCTAGCACCAGCTATGAAGCCAGAAAGTGGACGTGCATGAGTTGGGCAGGCTCTTCCATAAGCCAGATGTCTCAATCTGGATTTGAAAAGAACAAAAGAATAGGACATGACTTGGCCAATGAGAATTAACCCTGAAGGTTCTTTATTGTGCATGTTGCGTGTCAACACACAGACCATGGTAGACTCTACTTCAAGATCATTATGAGAAATAAGCAGTTCCTCCTCTGGACTCTCAGCAAGGTAGTTGATCTTGGTCCCAAACACTTTACCCTAACAGGATGCACACTTCAAACCTTGAAACTCTTGGTGATAATGAAACATACTAAGATTCTAAGCCCATTCCTCTGCAAATAGTTATTTGTCAAGATTCTATGCCAAACAGTGGAATAGTGTCTACTTTTGTTTTAGTAACACAGTAACAGGCACCTGGGCAAAAATGATCATGAAAATAAAGTCACACTCCATCATCATAAGTGACTTACGGATATTCCATTTTCTGAGGCTGCCATGTCTATTTCTAAAACCAAGGTACCAGACAGG